CTCTTTACCTCTTCTTTGATTTTAGATGATAGCCTTGCTGGGTAGGGTACCCTTGGTTGTATGTCGTTGCTTTTCATCACTTGGAATATTTCCTGCCACTCCCTTCTTGCCTGCAAAGTTTCTGTTGAGAAATCAGCTGACAGTCTGATCGGAGTTCCCTTATAGGTAACTAACTGCTTTTCTCTTGCTTCTTTTAGGATTCTCTTTTTGTCTTTAACCTTTGGCACTTTAATTGTAATGTGTCTTGTTGTTGGCCTCTTTGGGTTCATCTTGTTTAGGACTCTCTATGCTTCCTGGGCTTGTATGTCTATTTCCTTTGCCAGGTTAGGAAAATTTTCAGTCATTATTTCTTCAGATAGATTCTCCATCCCTTGCTTTTTCTCTTCTCCTTCTGGTAGCCCATGATGCAAATGTTGTTATGCTTCATGTTGTCCCAGAGGTCTCTTAAACTGTCCTCATTCTTTTGGGCTCTGTTTTCTTTTTGCTGTTCTGATTGGGTGTTTTCTGCTACTTTGTCTTTCAAATTGTTGATTCAATCCTTTGCTTCATCTAATCTGCTGGTGATTCCCTCTAGGGCATTCTTCATTGCAGTTAGTGTATTCTTCACTTCTGACTGGTTCTTTTTTATGGTTTCTATGCCCTTTTTATGCTTGCTATCTCTTTGTTGACATTCTCACTAAGATTCTTGAACACCCCTATAACTATTGTTTTGAACTCTGTATCTGGTAGGTTGCTTGCCTTCATTTCATTTAGTTCTTTCTCTGTAGTTTTCTCCTGTTCTTTCATTTGGAATGCATTTCTTTGTTTCCTCATGTTGGCTGCCTCTCTGTGTTTGTTTCTACATATTAGATCTGCTATGTCGTCCGGTCTTAGCTGGGTGGCCTTATGTAGACAGAGATTTATTCGCTCATAGTTCTGGAGGCCAGAAGTCCAAAATCAAGGTGCTTTCTCTGAAGGCTCTAGGGAGGAATCTGTTCCAGGCATCTCTCCCAGCTTCTGGTTTTGCTGGAAATTATTGGCATTCCATGGCTTGTAGACACATCACACCAATCTCTTCCTTCATCGTCACATGGTCTTCTTCCTATGTCACTGTACCTCTCCTCCTTTTTTTAAATAAGGACATCAATCATATCAGATTAAGGGACCATCCTACTCCACTATGATCTCATCTTAACTTACTTACTTAACTTAATGACATCTACAAGACAAGACCTTCCAAATAAGGTCACATTCTTAGGGACCAGGGTTTAGGACAGCATATCTTTATGGGGGACACAATTCAACCCACAACAGTCACCTTCAGCCTCTCACACTGGGTTACCTTGGAACCCCACTCTGACGCTCTAACACAAGCTCTTCCTTCTATGCTGCCTAGATGTGAATGAGTGTGCAGACTCCACCACATGCCCATCTCATGCCACTTGTACCAATACTGCGGACAGTTACTACTGCACTTGCAAAAAAGGCTTCCTCTCCAGCAATGGACTGATCCAGTTCAGGGGCCCAGGGGTGGAATGCAAAGGTAAGTTCACACCCCTTCAAAACCCTCCAGCATTTGGTAGAAAATCAGGCGGAAACTGACAGATGTAGATACTTTGTCTTTTTACCCAAACACTGTTCCCTCCCTCTCTCCCTTCCTTCCTCCCTTCCTTCCTCCCTCCCTTCCTTCCTCCCTTCCTCCCTCTTTCTCTCCCTCCTTCCCTTCCTTCCTTCCTTTTTTCCTTCCCTACTTCCTTCCTCCTTCCCTCCCTTATTCATTCATTCAATTCTTTCTTTCTTTCTTTCTTTTTCTTTCTCTCTCTCTCTCTCTCTCTCTCTCTCTCTCTTTTTCTTTTCTTTCTTTCTTCCCCCTCCCTACTTCTCTTTCTTTCTTTATCATGAAAATAATTCCTGATCACTAAAATTTCCAATGATTAGAGACTAGCATTACCATGAAAATAAAAAATGCCATTTTTTAATATCTAGGAATAACTGTTGATTTCATTTTGGGGACCCTCCTTCTTGTTGCCTCTCCATGCAGAAAATAAGAATTTCTAACGTTTTTTTAAGGCCAAGTCCCATGTAAAGGGCTTCAGGTGCATTTTCACATTAAATCCAGTGTAGCAGTGGGATGCTGTCCTTTGTACAGGTGAGGAAACTGAGGCTTGGAGAGCTGAAGTGACTTGTTTAGGGTCACACAGTTGAACTGGAGTTCAAATCCAGGTCTTTCTGACTCCAATGGCAGTCTCTCAATCACATTACCTATTTGCCACACTCTAGTTGTGAGGTGTTGGGGGAATGTATTTAATCTCTCTAAGCCTCAGTGTTTCCATCTATAAAATGGGTGTTTAAGAGTACCTACCACCAAGGATAGTTGGGAAGATTAAATACAATAATGTTTGTAGTGTGTTAGGCGAATGCACGGTCCCGAGAGCTACTATAAATATAAATAATGTAAGTTCAAATAATTCCCAGATTGAGCTAAGTTGTTTGTCTGCCTTTCTTACACTTAGGCCCCAATTCTCCTCTTGACAGTACAGATTTGCCTGTGCCTCTGAATAGGAGGCATTTTTTCTGCAAGGGGCCAGATAATAAATATTTTGGAGGCTGCAGGCCATATGATCTCTGTCATGACTACTCAGTACTCCAGCTGTTTTGCAAAAGCAGCCATAGACAATACATAAATGAATAGATGTGGCTGTGTTCCAATAAAACTTTATTTATACAGACAGGTGGTGGGCTGGACTTGACCCTTGGGCTGTCGTTTGCTGAATAAGATAATTCATTCCTATCATTGTGGCTCTCAGGGAGCCCCAAACATTCTTCTTTGGGCTACAGTTCATGGGATATTCAGTGAGCTCAGTTCGTGGTGGTGGGCACTGTTTTGTTTTGTTTTGGTTTTTTTAAAGTTGCAGAAAAGGAGTTTATCAGAAGTAAAAATACATTTCAAAGAAGCAGAAGCAGGCCCAAGCAGTAGAGAAAAAGTAGATAATGGCTCAAGGGCCATTATTAGAAAAGAAAAAGTACACTCCCAAGCAGAAGCAAGGCTCAAAATGCTCAAAAGGCCCTGGTTTTTAAATTTGGAGTGAAATCAACATTCCTCATCTAGAAAATGATGGATGCTACAGCCAAGATTCTATCCACTCTGTCTTTGACCCCCAGTCAGTGCCTGATACATTGTGAGTATTCAATAGATGTTTGTCAAATTGAGGAACATGTTACCTTATTCTCTATGTCAACTCCGAATTTAATCATCCTGTTATTGATAGATAATGTTTTGCAACTTCAAGCAAAGGTGCAGTAAATATTCCCGTGACCTTATCTTGGTGTACAGTGTCAGTTGCAGATTTCTCTCTAGGAGAGGTCCAGTTTGCTGGGAGAGAGCTATAGGAGAATTGCTTTGAAGTTTTATTTACATGACAAGTACATAGCAAGTGGTTATATAGGGTGGCTTGACAGAGCAGGCCTGAAAGAGACTTGGGGAAGGCCACCCCATGGTACCATAACTGCATAATCCTATGGGAGCTTCCATGAGTAAATGCCTAGAGATGGCTTTGCAAGGTGTTCTTTACTGCGTAACACACCACCAGCAAACTCAGTGCATAAACCAACAACAGTTACTTATTTTGCTCATAAATGAATCTCCAATTTGGGCTGAGTTTGTGAGGATGGCTTGTCTCTATTTCACACAGTGTCAGTTGAGTTGGCTCATGTGGGGGTCAGGGGATCCACTTTGAAGGGGACCCACTCACATGGCTGGCAAGCTGAAGCTGGCTGTTGACTGGCTGCTTCACCAGGACTGTGGGCTGTAGATCTCAGTTTCTGTTCATGTGGGCTGCTTTGTCATGACTGGTTGGGCTTCGTCACAGTATGGCAGCTAAGGTCCAAGATGAGCACCTCAAGACAACAAGGTGTAGGTACATGATATTTTTCTGACCTAGTGTCATTTCCACAACAGTTACAAGCACGATTGGATTCATGGGGAGGGCATAGACCCCACTGCTTAATGGGCGGAGTGCCAAACTCACATGGAATATGGAATGCAAGATGTTGTTACAACTACCTTTGGAAAATACAAAAATCTTTTATACAAGATGAGGCAATTTTGTAACTCTGACTCTCTGTGTCCAGATGTAGATGAATGTTCTCAAAGACCCCCACAATGTGGAGCTAACTCAGTCTGCAAAAACCTGCCGGGGAGGTACAGGTGCAGCTGCTCACATGGTTTCTCTTCTCCCACTGGAGATAACTGGACCCTGGGAAAGCCAGGTCATTTCTCCTGTACAGGTAATGCTCCCAGGCTTTGCATGGGTCTTTGGTGGACAGCTACTGTTGAGTTAGGAACATGTGTTTCTAACCTCAGACGGCCAATTTCTTGTTTGCTAACTCTCCTCCACTGCTCCTCAGACATCGATGAATGCCTCGACAGTGGGGTCTGCCCAGAGCATTCTGAGTGTGTCAACTCTTTGGGAAGCTACAGTTGCCAATGCCAAAATGGATTCATCATTAACAACGCCACCTGTGAAGGTATAGAAAACCTGCTCTTCTTTATTCACCTACTTAATGAAGAATCACCTCATTTGATGATCCTATGAGGTATGGATGTTGAGCCTCATTTTAAGAATCAGAAAATTGAGGCTCAGAGAAGTGAAGTCACTTGCTCAAGAACACACCGGTATTAAAATGGAAGAACTGGGATTTGAACTCCTGTTGTGAGCCTCCTATGAGTTAAGCAGTGGGTCAAGCAGTACTTGAGAGTAGGGGGTTTGGGAATCAGTCTGTAGAGTAATTGTTCTCTCAGGGGACATTGGCCACATCCGGAGACATTTTTGATTGTCACAACGGGTGGTGGTGGTGAAGTTGTGTGTACTACTGTCACCTAGTGGGTAGAGGCCAAAGATGTTGCTAAACATGCTACAGTGCACAGGACAGCCTCCCCACAATCAAAAATTGTCCGACAGTGAGGCAAAAGTGTAATGGCCACCATAATGAGAAGGTATCTTCAGACTGAAGAACTATGCAGGCAACTCCATAGACTATAACAGAACTTATTATGGGGTAATTTACTTATGGGACGATTGGGTCAGAATGGAACAGATCATGCAGTTTTGTGCAGATTATTCTCTGCTACCAGACCCCTGATATAGTACTTTTTTATAGTATAATTCGATACTAGTGATTGACAAGACAAAAGGACAAAGAATGCAGTAGTGCCAGGGGCCATATTTCCTGGTGGTCTTGTGATCGAGGATTACTTATAATCAATACTATTATCAGTTTGATATTAATCTCGGTTGTCATGCCATTCTGGCCATTACTAACAGAAACACTGTGACTACATTTTAAGGACACAGATAATCATCAGCTGGAAGGCTTTGATGTGTTTGCTAAGGACAATGAGGTTGGTCACAGCATGAAAATGAAAAATGAAATGAAATCCGGGACACAGAGATGGAGTTGGTTTTGTTCACATCTACGTCTATAAAAATAATCCTGTCCCCAAAGTCAGTAGTGCTAAGGTAGAGAAACTCTGTCCTAGGAAGACCCAAACTTCAGAACTTTCTCCTAAAAGGTATTTGAATTAAGACCTGAGAGTTCACCTCGATCCTCCCTCCCGTTTCGTATTAAATCAATCGTCTTCTCTTGGGGAACTGACCTGCTAAATAGGTCTTGAATCTCTCCATTCTTCTCCATCTTTGGTCCAAGCATCACCATTATTGCAGCAGTCTCTCCCTTTCTCCTGTCTTGCCCCCTTGAACTCATCCTCCACACTGTAGCCAGAACCTCTCACCTGGAAACAGGGCTCCATCTTCCTGAGTGTGGTACAGCCCCAAATTCTCCAAATTCATTCTTAGAGGGTGACTTCATTAAACAAGGCATGGAGTGATCAAACCTCATCATATCCCCTTGGCTTGGAGTCAGAGATATTGAAAGTCATCTCTGGTTTCTTTAATCCATTTGCAGCAGTTAGCTGTGGCTGACTAACAAATCACCCTGAAAGTCAGTGACTAAAAACAGCCACCACTTATTTAACTTGACTCCACGCCTTTGGCAGCTGAGTTTGGGCTCTGCTAGTCAGTTCTTTGGGTCTCAACTGGGCTCGTTTTGAGTCTCTGGTCAGCTGGGGGTCAGCTTTGCTGATCTTGACTGGGCTGTCTCACATGGGCTCATCTGGGATGCTCCGTCTCTCTTCCACTTTGTCTTTCATTCTTTATTGGGCCAGTCTAGGGCTTGTTCATATGGCAGAAGCCCCAAGAATGAGCAGAAGCAAACAAGCCTCTAGTGGTCTAAGTTTGAAACTGACACCATATCACTTCTGCTGCATCCTATTGGCCAATGCAAGTCATAGAGGCAGCCAGATTCCAGGGGTGAGAAACCCAACTCCATATCTTAAAGAGAGGCGTGGCATTGCATTGCACAATCCACATCCCAAGGTGTGGATACAGGCAGGAGTAAAAGACCATGAACACTTCTGTAATCTATGATCATTATGCTGTGAAACAATTTACCACCATTTTGCTTAGATACTGTTGGCCAGAATTTATTCTCTTGGGCATATCTCACTGCAAGGGAAGTTAGGAAGAAGGGGAGAACATGGATATTGGGGAGCAGCACTTTGTGCCACAAGTTAAGAGCGTGTAGAATGGGTCTCTTGTTTTCAGTCTGCAGTCTCCTGTCCTCACTTCCTCACTTGCCTTGACCTCCATTTCCACTCCAGATGTGGATGAATGTGCTGATCCCAGAGCTTGCCCGGAGAACGCGACTTGCCACAACAGTCTTGGAAGCTACTCTTGTGTCTGCAACCCAGGATTTGAATCCAGCACTGGAAACATAAGTTTCCACGGCCCAGGAGGGACGTGTGAAGGTAGGTGAAGGGGTCTGTTGGGGACTCAGGTCCAAGTCGGTTTGCAAAAGACAGCAATGGTGGGGGAGGAGTTGGGTGGATCTTGGCTGCATTCAAAGCCCTCATGTGCAAAGCTGAAGCCAGTAATCATTCATTCATTCACTCATTCAACAAAAACATCCTGAGCACCTACTATACGTGAGGCACTCTTCTAGGGATGGTGGATACAGTGGGGGAAACACACAGGAAAAAATATTTGTTTTCCTCTAACCTATCATCTAGTGTGGAGGGAGATGGATAACAAACAAAACAAACGCATGAATGTATTGTGTGTCAGACATAGTTAAAGGAGTTGAAGATAAATAAGGCAGGAAAGGCAAATCAAGAGTGCTGGGGCTCTAATTTTCAGAGGAAAGGCCACGCTGAAAAGTTGATATTTGAGAAAAGATCTGAATGAAGTGAAGGAGTGAGATATAGGGGATCTGGGGAAGGGTGTTCCAGGAGGAGCTAAGAGTCAGTACAAAGGCCTGAAGGCAGGATTTCAGCCAAGGCAGTAAGCTCTTTCATAGGTGACCTCCTTCAGGCCTACCAACCTTATAGTATTGGTGACATTTTATACTCATTTTGTTTTATTTTTATTTTTTTAATAATTGTATTATTTTTTAATTACAGTTGACACACAGTATTACATTAGTTTCAGGTATACAACATAGTGATTATACATTGATATAACTTATGAAGTGATCACCCTGATAAATCTAGTACCCATCTGACACCATGCATAGTTGTTACAATATAATTG